CTCCCACAAACTCCACTTTAGAGCTACCTATCTATGCCTGTTCTGGAAGAGGCATTTAACAACAGAACTCACTCTTGTTTGCCCCCTCTCTCCCCCCTGCCCCCAACTTACCAACACCACTTGTGGGTTTGTCAGCCTCAATTCCACATTGGCCACAGCCCCTGAGTGCATGGGTGCCAGAACTAAATACTCTCTCCACGCTCTCTTGTATTTTAGCCAATGGCTTCCTGGTTTCCTTAAAACCTTCAGTAACAGATGTTGTCAACAGCCTTAATTAAATCCATCAAGACTACAGTAATCACTCTTTTCTCCATGCCTCTGAGGCAGCAATTCCATCTACAGAAGCTATGCTGACTCTTTATGTTCTTCACGTGCCGGCCTCTATTATATATAGTTTCTGTTATTTTTTGTGCTACAGGAGCAGGCTTTCTGGACTGCCACAGAATCTTTTTTTTTTTTTTTAATCTTAATTGTGTCACATTTGCTACCCTCTAGTCTCCAAAACCAGGGAAGTTTTAAGTGATCCTTTCCACAATACTGCTTTGTGGAACTCTTCAGTGGATACCATTTAGTCTTGGAGCTATGCTGATGTTCATTATGTCTTGCTAAGATCATTCCAACTTGGTCTGCTGTTATTTTCACTTTGGACAGATCCTCTGCTGAGTTCCCCAGAAAGGATTCCTGCATAAAGTTCTCTCCAGTTCCCTCATCAATGCATAGTGATGCAAAAAAATTATCTTTTCTGTAACACTCAGTCTCCTCTGTGTACTCATGTTGCACCTTAGTCATCAGGCTTTTGCTACTGGTTGATGTGTAAGAAGAGTGATTTAGTGAGTTGGTTCCTTTGCCTAGTTGTTTACCAAATTCTTTTTGGCCTATCTAATTGTATTTTTATGTTTATCAAAGTTCATGTTCCTTTCTGTTATCTTCTTTTGAATGCAGTATGGCTTTTTTTTATGGTTCAGGCTGTCTTTTTGCTTCAAGTCTAGTATCCTTCAGCTTTCTCCTAGTCACATGTAAGGATTTAATTCTTTTAACTCCCTCTCCTAATTTGTTTTTAACAAGCCTCACATTGTTCCTTTAACTGGAGTTTAGCACAACGGTAGGGGATTGTTTGGTTTTTTGTTGTTCTTAGTAGAAATGCTGTTTTCATGAAACGGGAATTCTGAACCAGCTCTTGTGCGTTGTTGTGCACGCTCAGGACTGCACATAGTCTTGAGGGCTCGTTCTGTGAAAAACAACTCCATCTAAATAATACCACCTAAGAATGGCATCTGCTTCATGTAGCAATGTGGCAGTATACTGCTGTCAGTGGTACTGTCCTGGCTGGTGGTTTGACGTGTAGATCCAATCCCATGTTCTTCCCAATAGGGCTTTGAATTTCAACACATTGATTATATGCTTCTCTCTGGGGTGGCTGGTTTTCTGTGTTTGGAAACCATTTAGCCTCTCTACTATATAGTCTTTGGACTACTGGCATAATCCCTTTCCATTTATGCTCACTCCTAACTCCATCAAAACTAATGTAATAATTCCAACTTGGCAAGGAGCTCATATTAGGAGAAACAATCACAAAAGATGGTCACATCGTACTGTTTCCAAAATGACAGGAACATAACCAGTCTTCTAATAAATGCGTAGGTAGTCATTGATTTGAATATATGTTGTACTGGAGTTTCATACCAAATGAATGTTACTCCTCTCATGACAATTTACTGTCATTTTTCTAATCCATTGTTCATACCTTGTACGCAAACATACGGAAGCCTATACTGCTTTTCTGTAGATGTTTGGCTGAAGAGTAGTGTTTTGTGGTGACACACAAAATTCCTTGGGCTTTGCACAGTTTCCACAGTTCTTAGAACTAATATCTTGAGAGTAAATCAAATAAGGCCTCTGCCCTTTAAAGGTGAGTGGAGGAAGGACTTTTCATTTAATGAACTGAAAGAGAACTCTGTCTTTCAGGAGGAACTACTTTTTAAAGGAAAAGCTTTATTTTTCAAACAAGTTTTGTATTCTGTTTTAAACCTCCTCAGTCTCTATCATGACTTTGCAATATCACAACCATCTTTTAAAAGGAACTCTTTTAGGGCAAAACCACCAACCAGATTAGTATAAAATACCATGAGGATAGTATTACATTATTTCTCCACAAGCTGTTCTCTCAGGAAAGGGAATGGGCAGAGCATTGATGGAGAAAACCATGCAACTCCATAAACAAAAGTTTAAGCACTGGGTTTGCCAAACAAAAGCTTTCACTTGGAACAGACTTTTTTTTTTTTTTTTCAGTTATGCATTCTTAGCATTAGATATTTAGATCAATATTTAGGCATGTAAGTAAGTCTATCCTGGTATTTAAAAGTATCAGAAATTCCCACCCTGGATAGAAGATTCAAAAGCATTTCAGTTACTCTGCATCTTTTATGTAGTTATCTAATGGGTGGATTTAGTTAGCTAATGCTAGATACCAAGATCAAACATTTTGGGCAAAAATCAAAGGTAAAATATATTAAATTAACACAAATAACCCAGTAATATTGTAAAATGTTTAAACCTGACTGCGAGAATGCCCAGGGTGTGGGATTTTTTTTACTAAACATTCATCTCTTTAGTAATCCCTTCCTTTGTTATAATGAGCATTAGAGGAGGACACTTGCTGAGAAGTGGAAGATTCATTAAGAAACATGAGAACCATTTACAGTTAGTTCTAAGAAATTACTTGGAAACGCGCCTTCTCACTGTCTGCAGTGAGTGTAAGATTTTACATAAGCTCAAGGGAAAGAATGTCCTGCTTAAGGAGAGAAGGGTGTTGAAATCCTTGGGGTACAATAATGCTGCAGGCAGTGGCACACACTTTCACTTCATGCAGTTTCGTTTATCTTAGTTGCTTCCTCTGGGTGTTGGGACACAGTAGGAGCCTTACTTAGGTGCTCTGAGTCACCCATCAGAAGACCCCTCTCTCTCTGTGAGGACTTACTCAAAGCTGGGTGCCAAAAGTTGCACAGTCAACATTTCAACACCAGCCTTCCTGGAGAAACACGGTCTTATATCACATAAATAGTACAGTGCTTCGGGCTACTTTGCTATGTGCCTTAGATCTAGAGCTGATCCGATAATGAAGAAGCACATCAGATGGGAAAACTCAAGTACGGAAAGTTGGAAAGCTGTTCTGAAGAACATCCTGTGTGGTACTTTCTTAACAAAGGAATGTGAGATGTAGTTATTTGGAAGAGTGGCTGCAAAAGAGGGAAATCTTAAAGGCTTTTTTCTTGTCAAATTTTGGTTTCTGATGTGCAGAGGAAGTCTCCTTGTTCTTCACTTAGTGAAGCTGCATTCTCATTACCTTTCAAAAATTAATAATAATGTTCTGCAATTTTTTGAAAGTATGGCAACATTTGAAAATTCAAATCAATTATTTAAAAGTGTCGACAGTCAAGGTGCAATATTTAGATGATGGAAATCTAGAGTCATGTACATCTCAAGTCTTATTTCACTGTTCATTTTGCCTTTGGTTAAGAAAGAAGTGATTATTTGATGACTATTTGAAAGGTGGTTTAGCTTAATCTGTAGAAAATAATTTGAGGAGGGGAAGTTTTCTTATACTGAAAAATAATTTACTGAAGATGCCACATCACCTTTTCTGGATTCTGTGAGCTACTGCTATCTACCAAATTCAATAAATCAAACATAAAGAAAAGTGCAATCTTTTCCTTTCAATCCAGATAATACCAAGGAAGAGTAAGATGATGGGTGATTCAGAAAATACCAATACTACATTAGAAAAAGAAAACTAAAAGGGATTGGATTATGCCATACCTGAAACTACTTTTTAGACACAGTATGAACAAGTTAAATATTTACAGTAGAAGGAAATGCAAACAATATAGAAAAGATTGTTTCAAGTGATGAAATAAGTTAAATAATTTTTCAGTCTGTCATCTGTCATATTAGCTGTAGAGACACACACACTTAAAGTGCAGATATATTTTGCTATGAAGATTTTAATCTAGTGTTGTTACAAGAAACAATTATGTACTGATCACAAATACCAGGGATATCTCAACAATAACACATTCTGTCCCATAAATTTATTCAGTTTAATTGGTGATATCTTAGAGAAGCAGCTCTTTTCACTTTTACAGTCTTTTAGCTGTAGATTCTATAGACACCCTAGCAAAATTAAAAATATTAGAAAGAAAAAAACATGGGTCATGTTTAATATTATTCTCCCAATATCTGCTCTGAGCACTCTTCACATTGAGGTACTAATGACAATCAAACAATCATATCTGGAAATATGTTGGGCTGAAGACAACTTAGTAAAGAAACACCACGAGGAAAGATTTGTACAGAATTTTTAATGATTGTTTTGTGAATAGGTGCATTCACTTGCTGAAATATAAGTCCCAAGGAAGGAGCAAGGGGAGCTGCATTTCTCTGGGGAGCATGGGGAGCACCCACAGCTCTGTGTCCCTCCTCGGGGATTTGCACTATTTACACACAAAAGCCCATCATAAGGCAGCTTTGAAGGCAAGACATAGTAGAAAATGCTATTTAGACATCAACAGCTGTGTGACCCACTCAATAGCGGTGAATTGGATCCATTTGGGACAGCAAGAGGCTTGTGGTCCCCTTACAAAAGGCCAATGGCTTCCAGCAGCAGCCTGTGTGGAAATGCCAGCAGTAGAGGAAGGGTGGCAGCAACCAGAGCATCACCTCCTCCCTGTCAGCCTGCCCCACTTGGCTTTTTGCATCCTCCTCCTTTTGCTGCCACGTCCTGTGCCACCCTCTTCCTCTGCCAGCACTGGGCGGCCTGGGGTCATGGAGAGCAGCTGCCCTGGCACCGCCTGCGGGGAGGGGGAGGACGTCCTGTAGGAGGGCCCTGTGGAGGCGGCAAACTCTCCCTGTGGCGGCCATT